AATCTATGATGGCCATCGCCTCATTAATTAATACCCTGGGAGCCTCATTCCCTGCACCCGTCCATTAGGCCGGCCTGGCCCTGACACCCCGCCTCTTCCTTACTCATACTCACACTCATTGTTATGCACACTCCGGCCTCCTGGGTTTGTGGGTCGTGGGTTTGTGGGTTTGTGGTTCGTGGCTTTGTGGGTTTGTGGTTCGTGGGTTTGTGGGTTTGTGGGTCGTGGTTCGTGGGTTTGTGGTTCGTGGCTTTGTGGTTCGTGGGGTTTGCCATGGTGGTGATGATGGTGGTAGGGGTGATGTTGGTGATGTTAGGGATGGCGTTGATAATGGTGATGGTTGGTGGTAATGGTGGCGGTGATGGTGATACCCATATGTCCACAGGATCAGTACCATCAACAATATCACCACCACATCCATCCCTCCAACAATCACCACCGCCATCACCACCACTACAACAGTACCTTTCCTAATTCTTTTATTATTCTCATATCTCCCTTCCCTCTCATCCCCCCTCCCCTATACCCCTCGCCTCTCCCCCCTCCCCTATACCCCTCACCATTCAACGTCCCCCACACATAGTAGCAGCAGTAGTAAATGAATAAAAAAAAGTGTATATATATATATATATATATATATATATATATATATATATATATATATATATATATATATATATATATATATATAATATAAATAATAATAATAAAATATATACCCCTTAAACAGAACAACATAACATGTGTACTCCCCTATTTGTGCTTGCGTGGGTTGAGCTTTAGCTCTTTGCTCCCGCCTCTCAACTGGTGTACAGGTTCCTGAGCCTACTGGGCTCTATCATATCTATATTTAAAACTGTGTATGGAGTCAGCCTCCACCACGTCACTGCCTAATGCATTCCACCTGTTAACTAGGGTGGTAAGCATCGGAGTGTGTATATATGAATGCTACACAGTACTCATCTATAGACATCCATATATGCTGAAGCACATGTGAAGAACCTCTCACACACTCACAGCTCCCTGACAAGAGGGAGCCAGCTTAGCTTAGCTGCCAACACCCACACATCGTGTCAGCAAGGCGAACAGTCCAGTCCGCCTGCGTTCATAACTCTCACTATATTTCCTATTTCTAAACTTCCCTTCACCTATGCCTCTCCTTCCTCTTTACTCCCCCCCCCCTTACAACAAAAAAGGTAATAATAGACACAACAGCCTGGCCGTCCCACAGAGTGGTTGCTACAAAAGCGTGGCCTTGCTGCCAACTAAACCCCCCTTCCCCCTTCCCGGCCCCTCCCCACTCCTCTCCCCTTCCCTTTCCCCATCACTCTCCCCTTCCCCTCCCCCATCACCCTCCCCCATCCCTCCCCACGATGACGTGCACGCATTTGGGATTGTACAAAAATCCCGCCAAAGAGAGCGATAAACAGCTGACAACTGCATAACACAAGAGGACTCTTGTTTAATTACGTAAATAAATACAATTATATGTAATATGGCGACTCCTCTAGTATATGGCACGCCCACTCTTGTATTTTCTGCAGAGACGTGTTTGCTCTTATACGCCAATGCCGATAAGCTATTATATATATATATATATATATATATATATATATATATGTCGTATATATATATATAATATATATATACTATATACCTAACCTAACCTATATTTTTCTGCTACCTATAACCTATATATATATAGGTATTGGTAGGTTCGGTCATATATCATAACTTTAACTCGCCATTGGCGTATAAGTGCACGTAGTGTCGTGCACGGTACACAAGCAGCCGTGTGACAGCATCCGGCTACACCGTCACCATGTCCGGCGTTTCACTTGCGCCAAAAAATATCTGAGATTAACACAGTAAAGGAAGATGCGCGGTGTGACGCGGACCAGAGGGCCTAGCCTGAGGCCAGGCCAAGGCCGCCCGTGTCCGTGGCTAGTGGTGAGGAGGACGATGGGGAGCCTATGGTGAATAGTCTCACTGACACTAATAGTTGAGATGATCAGATCATCAACTCTCCTCTCGGCTGAATGTTTTGTTTTACGGTATGGTAATTAACGTTACAAATGTATTCTATCAAGAAAAGCCACAGCTCACATATATCTTAAGTTTTCTATGTATGGCGAGGCTTGTGTGTAGGGAGGAGGGAGCCTCGAACTGTCACGTTTAGGGCAACTGCAGATTGACAAAGAACGTTAGAATACTATAACTATATAGTAAGACTATGGAACGGGATTGAACCTGCGCCCCTGTACTCTAAAGGATAGATCACTAGCATGGAACAATCTTTAATTTAGTTTCAACAATAATTGTGGGAAAATCTATTAAAGTTATAATCGTAAATGTCATTTGAACTCAGTTTACAAATGTAAGATGCTGTTAAAAAGCAACTTTTTTATGATGCTTTTAAAAAGCAACTTTTTTATGATGCTTTTGAAAAGCAACATAGGTTTTCAACAGACAGTCATGTTTGACAAATTTACCATCATCA